AAATATACCTTATGTAAATTTATTCAGTTTCTGATATTAGTCTCACTTCCTAGATGGAATAAGCTAGAAGTGATGTGAAGAGAGTACTTTCATGATACTTTTGTGATTGTTACAAAGTGGCCTCATGCCTTACTGTATAGTCACCAGTCTGTTGTAATTGGACCCAAGTGCTGGGGCCCATCTGCTTCTAAGTTGACAGTAAGGGAGTGTAGGGCTCATTCCTAGGTACAGACATCTTGGCTGATGCCCTTAATTGGGATGTGGACACCAGGGCTCAGCTGTCCTAGACTATGAAACCAGTGCCTCAGAGTGCCCAGCTGGCCTATGATCACTCTGGGCTTCTAGTTTAACTTCTTTGGGGACAACCTGGGAGGAAAGCAAGGAACACAGGTTTAGTCAAGCAATTTCTTTGCAGCCAAGAGTTACAGATCTTTGTAAAGAACTAAGTCCTGAGATGTACTTTCCCTGAGTCACATCTCACCTTTTCTCTGTGTGTGTTGTCATCTCTTTCCTGCAAGTCCTTATTGTGCACGGTGGTGGTGGTGAAGCCCTTCCTCTTAAATATGTGCCATGTGCCATGTGCTCATCCTGGGAAGCTCCAGATCTACCAGTCATGCTTATTCTCTATGTAGGGGCCTGCAAGAAGGAGACTATTGGTCCATGGGGATGGGTCCATAGTCAAGACAGTCAATCAGCGGCCTAGATTTCAGTCTTAGTGATAGGGTAAAATTGTAGGCCCAATTATTACAAAAATAATTGGAAGCTCAGCTGTAAAATGTATGTGAAAGCCCATAAGTGTCAAAATAATTTACAGTAATAATGTTGATAGGAAAAGTTGCAAAAGGGAGACAGATGGAATTAGTACAAACAAAAGGATCTACTGCTATAACGCAAGGACTGTGTTAAGATCAGGCCTGCTAAACAAGAAGTGTGGAACCAGAAATCAGTGAACCAAAGTTGGGCCTAATTGGTGGACAAAATAATGAGGGGATGGGCTATTCCACCCACCATTCCCTTTGTGAGTCTTTAAAGAAAGACAGATTGGCTAAGAGCAAACCTCACCACATGGCTGCCACCTCTCACAGTCTTCTGGGACCTCAGGGACATCCACCCCCTCTACAGCTCCAGCTAAATCCCAAACACTGATGAAATAGGACTTGACTTCAGCAGCATCAGTCTCTAAACTAACTTTCTCCCCCAAAACATCAGTTATTACTATCTGTCTGCCAAACAAGGATTTTTCTTTTAAAGATTCTCGCCAACTAAAGGGAAAAGGAACTTTGTTAAAATGAAAGCCTTACTTACAGCATTTGAATTGTAAAGTATTAACTGTTTCCTTCATCTTAAACCTTTTGTTAAATGATGTTTCCCCCATGGTACTAAACCCTGATCCATGTTTAACACAGTTTAATGTTGAAGAGTGACTGGGTTATGTTAACACCTCTGGCTCTATATTCCGTCTAATTATATACACCAATCTTCAACAAGCTGTCACACACCTTATTGGTGGCTCAACAGATAACTATCTACTCCATTATCACATTTTTTGCAGATGCTGGCTATGTTGCTACAGCAGTAGCAATGGTTCAGGCAGGTGTAGCGCTGCTAAAGGATGCAAGTTCTCTTCCTAAACAGTGAGTCTTTATTTTCCTATGTACTGTATGTGTGGCCTCAGACAGGGGCTCTTTTTAACCCCCTGGTCCTCTGTGCATTTAAAATGGAGCTGGAAAACAAACATCCAGGAAACATACAGCATGCTCCTTATGTATCAAGTTAGCCAATTTTTTCAATAGAGATTTATGTGAGCTGTGTCTTTACAAAATCAACCACCTTATTAAGTTCTGGAAAAACCCCAAGCTAAGCTTTCTATAACTCAATGCATAATTATTTGTAATAATTCTCACATTGAGTATTTAAAAAATAATTTTAAATTAATCACTTTAATTCTGATAATATATATATATTTATGCAGTTATCTAATTACAGAAGATAAGACTTAGCTAAATTATTTATGTGGACAATTAGCTTTTTAGTTTTCCCCGTACTGCCCTGGGGCTGCTTCTCCAGGTGGCACAAAGGAAGTGTACAGTGGAGTCGCATCATAGGTGCTTTTAACTATACACGCTTGGCAAAACAAACAAAACAAAAACAAAATAATTTAAATACTGTACCTGTAGTGCGGGCGATTCTGCCTGCCATTCCACTCAATGAGCGTTTGACTATACGCGATTTTCGCCTTAAACGCTGACTTCAGCACCTAACCCCCACATAAGATGCGACTCCCCTGTAGTTGAAGAAAAGTCACTGCTGCACCCAGGGCAGAAGAGAAGCATAATTAAAATTAAACTTTGTTATTTGGGCCATTAAGATTTTAAATATAGTAATTACTGATATTTATGTAGCTATCATTTTTTGTATAAAAGTTACTTTTGAAATGCTTCAGGGCTGGCCATGCTGGTAGAGCTGTATGAGAGAGAACTGGTCAGTGATCCCTGCCTTCATGGAGGGATTAGCATCATCACAGAGAGAGGGTCCTGGGGCAGTAAGAAGCAGAGGGAATAGCTGAAGAGCTGGGTCTAGGACCCCTGATGCAGCAGCATTTCCCTGCCTCCTGCTGCTTTAAGACACCTCTCTGCTGTAGAGACAGTCCATCCATGAAGGCAGGGGGTAAGGGCAGGTTTGGGTCCTTAGACTGTAAAATCCACAAAATGAGCTTGTATCAACTCCTGTTGCAGGCACCAAAAATCCAGTCTCAATTAATTCATAAGCATTGGCAATACTGTAGTTAGGACAAATGGTTGTATCTTCGGTAGTTGGGATAATTCAGTCCTCAAATTAGATGCATTTTACCTATTTTAAATGTCACAATGATCAACTACTGGTACATCTTTTAATGGTTTTATAATTCATTTAACAGAGGTGGCGTATATACTCCAGGAGCTGCTTTCTCTAAAACAAAACTGATTGATCGGCTGAACAAACATGGCATTGAGTTCTCTGTTATTAGCAAGTCAGAAGCCTGAAGTTTCAAAATAATTCCAAGAAAAACTACAATTGCATGAACTAATGTACCAAGAGCGTATTCAGATGTAAAACCTAATAACATTTACAAATCAGTTGTATTGTTGCTAACAATGGTATTAAAAGGATTATAGCATTTTGTGTAGTCATTAGTGAACCAGCTGATGCACAGAGATTAACACCACCTCATGCTTTAGGAGTATTAGAGGAAATTACTGCTTCAGCATC